GGGGTTTCACCGTGTTAGCCAGGATGGTCTCAATCTCCTGACCTCGTGATCCGCCCGTCTCGGCCTCCCAAAGTGCTGGGATTACAGGCTTGAGCTACCGTGCCCGGCTGCATTAAATAATTTCTAAAAGCAACTTTTCTTGGTCCTCAAATGACAAAATCTTCTCTTACCAATTCTTACTCTGATACTATATTTTGCCAATTTGTTGTTTTAAAAATGGCCTTTACATGTGGCTCAACACAGAGATGTAATACTGACTGTGGTACTCTGGAGAAGAGCAGAAGGTGGGCCCTGGCTGGGGTGAGGAGTGGATGGAATCAAGAGCCCTTCATCTTTGCTCCTGGAATCAGGTTGAAATAACAGTTTTATCTCTCGCTCCAGAAAAAAGTAGTATAAGCACATCCTCAAAGTGAGTGTCTTGGTGTTACCAAGCATGTGATTTATGCTGCTTTAGTCTCTAGATCCCAGATGGGACAGGTCTAGGCATCCCTCAGGGCCTTGGGTCAATCAGTGTCTTCTTGCCCTAGGCATGGTTGTCTAGGGTGATGCATGAGAAGGACAGAGAAGATCAGGATGTAGGTGTGCAGGCTAGACTGTTGACTTATTAGTAGTAATAGTGAGTGCTATTACCTGTAAAAAATCCAACAATGTGGACATGAGGAGAAAATGGGTCAGGCTCTTATTGGAGTCACAAATCTAAATAAGCTTTTTCTCGTGAAAGTCTGTGATTCAGTATCTGCAGAGACTTTAATAACCTACTCACCATTATTTCCACTTAGATTGCCTTATGAGCAGGAAGGAAGGAGCAATTTAGGGTTCAGTAAAAAGCACATCTGTTTGACTGATAATGTCATGGCTGCTGTGATCATACTTAAAAACATCCTAGTACTTTATATTATAGTGTGTGCACCTCTCAGCTTTTTATAGGCTCTGTGACATCATAAATCAAAACATCTATGTGCAATGACCACAGGACCACTGATAAAGAGCTCTAAGAGTCCTTCCTTTTACTCTGATGTATGCTTATAAACCCCTCCTCATTCTTCACTTAAAGGCAAACAACCCAACTGTGACCATGATGCTCTGAGACGAAGGACAACTATCACCATTCTCTCCCCACCCTGATCTTCTCACCCATAAGCTGAAAGTAAAGTTGCTCATCTGATTGTGGACAAAACTCCATGAAAGGAGAAAAAGCTTACTTCTTAATCTCATCTTCTACTGCATTGACTCCCTCAGTTTGTGGATTCTGGAATTTGTTGGTGGCACTTCCAAAGTCACACAGGACATAGTGGCCTCGGTCATGCAAGAGGATATTTTCAACCTGAAAAACATTCCCCAACCACCCATTCCAAGATATCATTTAGTAATGCACGTGAAAATTTGGTTTCACAGTCACATAAATAAAACGTTTTATTTCTGGCAGTCTCATTAATGTGCACAGGAAAGTTATTCCTCTCCAAGTATCTCAACAGGGGTCATCCCAAGTGGAACACAGGAGATGCAGAGTAACAGGGAAAAGTGGGTGGAGAGGGCAAAAAGAGGAAACTCCACAGTGGGGGATGCAAGAGTGCCATTTTTGTAAATTTCAGCCACATTTCTCACCTCTGCAGAAACCGTCTTCATACTTTCAAGCCTCTGACCTGTGCCTTTGCTCTTGCTCTTCTTTTAGGCCAGGATGCCCTCCACAATCCCTACCTCCTTAGCCAGCTATCAAAATCTCGTTTTAAACCCCAGGTCAAATGCCATGTCCTTTTTGAAACTTTCAGGCTCCCACTCAGATAACATGTCACTCTTTCCCTATTGTCCTTCAGTATTTCATTCTCTCATGATATGAATTACTTCACTCGGACCTTATAAGTACTTATATAAATGTCTTTACTACACTAGGTTAGGATATTCAGAATTAATACTGTTTATGTTTCAGTTACTTCTCAATGTGATAAAATGCCTGGGGATAAATGGGCAGTTTTCCTGTTAATGTATTGCCCTAATTTTTTAAATAAATGAATTCTTTGGGCAGTGAGTTAGGAGTTCTAGGCAGCAGGGAGCTTATAACGCCCCAAATCTAGAGAAATCCCTGGTATCAAAGGATTCTACTAATGAAATGACAACTCCAAAACAGTGGACACTATGTATTCAAGGTGTACTGATTTTTGGTCTAGATGAACTGAGCTGACTAGTATGCTGGAGGACAGGCCTGGCTATGTGTGGGGAGTAAAATGGCAGCCAAAAAATCTTGTTAGGCCATTAAGACTGTAGTCTCCATTGTCTTTTGTCTTCAGCCTTCCAAAGACTGACCGCCTTTGGAAAACAAAGGCAAGAGTAGACTATAAGATAGTCTACTCTTAAAGATAAGCTCCTCAAAGATAAGCATCATCTCGTAATCATATTCTTGGTCTTCTCTACCTAATGCCTAACAAAATGCTTGGTATAAAAAATGTATGTTGAATGGAATAAACCAAAAAACACTGTGTATGTGTGTGCATGTGCGAGCAAACCTGGTCTGTCAGGGGCAAGATATGAGCCACCAAATATCCAGGCCATACGGCCATACTACTGTACTACTACTGATTCTTTTAAAAACATCCAGTCAATTATAATAAGCTCTAATTTCTATACTTGTTTCTATACCTTCTTTTAATTCTTCTAAGAATTACATTAAGTATATTTTATAGTCTGTATCTGCCAATTCCAATATTCGAAGTGTCTGCTGCCAACTGATTTGCAGTTTATTGTTTCTTATTCCTACTAAACCTTGCTTATGGTGGTGTTGGGAGGAGTTTTGTTGTTTCATTAACTTATGTTCCTTGGAACTTAATCTGTACAAAGCTTGTGAGATCTGGGTTTAAAGTCTATTGTTCTTCCAGAGAGGATACACTGATGTAGTTGGGGGCAGTACTGCCCTGGAATTACTTTAATCTATAATTTTGACCTTGGAATTTCCAGCCACAGAGGTAGTTTGAACTATGGCCATCAACCTTCACAGGTATGTTCCATGATTAACAATTCTTAAGCATAGGGTTATGAATTAAGAATGATTAGAAGAGATTCGTTCCTTTGAGATAAGGCTGAGGCAAGCAAATATTTCCATCATCTATGTCTTTTTTATAAAGCTTACCAGTTTAATCTACTTATACAAAGTGACACAGTCAAGCTTCCTGAGCATATACACACTTTAGGAATTCAAAATAATTCCAACAAAACAACGCTAATGTTTTCAATCTAATTTAGAGGTTATAAAAATAACAGCCATCATTTTCTGAGCTTTATTATTGCCAGTACTACTGTACGCAGCATTTTACATGGATTATCCCACTACATCCTCATAATCCCAATATGATTATTATCCTTCTCTCACAGATGGAGAGAATGAGGCTCAGAGTGATTAAGTCACTTGCTAAATGTCACACAGCTAATAGTTGGTACAGCTGGGAAGTGAACCTAAAGAACCTCACTCTAGAAAGGACAGGCAATTATATTCCTGCTACAGGAAGCAGGTTAGAAGCAGAGCAATTAATAAAGGCCCCCATCCTTACTTCCAACTATAGTAGGGGTGATGATACTTGTTTAATGCATTGGGTGCAAGCTTAAGGACAGGAGTTTCTTAGTGCTTTATGTTCAGAAATGCCCCTACAATAGAAATCTAGTTAATAAGGAACCACGTGTCTAAACACTAGCCAGGCTGATTTGTTCCATGTCTCCTAAGCATTCCATACATAACCTAATTTTTCCTTTTATTCAATTGCTCCTTTTATTCAACTGCTCACTCTCTACTCAAGTTGTAACTCCCGAGAAAAACCTTTCATGACCAGTCCACAAAATCTACAGAATTGAAGGCCTTCAGGCCAAATCAAACCATGCCCACTTGTTACTTACCTAAAGTTTATGGCTGCTTTTAAACTCTCACAGCAGAGTTGAGCAGTTATGACGGACCTAAAATATTTATTATCTGGCCCTTTGTAAATAAATTTTGTAAACCTTTGGTAGGTAATAATCACTGATAATCATTTACAATTCGGCAATGTTTCTTTCACTGTGGGTTGGTATTTAGCTTCTTATGTATTTACGCTTGCCTTCCCAAGTAAGACTACAAAGCATTAGAAAAAAGGGCACCGTATTAAGCCTGTGTATCTCCCATAATGCCTTGTCCAGTGCCGTACACATGCCAGGGACCCTTAAATGTTGGCAATGAAATCACTTATTCAGCATCATTCAGCAACAATCTTCCTCCTTGGCCTCATGCACCTGGCAGGACTCATGTAAAATCACGCTTCTCCTATTGGATGTGTGCACTCCCTTTCTGAATCAGTTTCTACACTTCTAATGCTGGAATGTACATCTAGAAAAGCTCTTATTACCATACATTTATAAAAGAAACACGTTTCACACAAAGGATAAACACAAAGGATAAATGCTTGAGGTGGTGGATACCCTACTCACCCTGATGTGATTATTACACATTGCATGCCAGTATCAAAATGTCTCATGTAACTCCTATATACACCCATTATGTACCCACAAAAATTCAAAACTAAAAAAACAAAAGAAACACGTTTCAACTCCTACTATATGCCAAGAACTTTTCTAGGCTCTAGGGATAAGGCTGTCAACACAACAAAGTCTATCCTCTCACGGAGCTTACCGTTCAAGTGGAGATAAGAAGAAAATCATTATACTTGCCTGGTAGTGATAAACATTATGACAAGAAAGCAGCGGGTGAATGTATGTACGGTGAAGGGGAATGCTATTTTAAATAGTATAGTCAGGGAAGGTCTCTTTGAGGGGAACAGAGACCTGGATGAAGAAGGAGCAGCCATGGGCCATCTCGGGGAAGAGCACTCCAAGCAGAAAACAGCAGCACAAAGGCCCTGAGACGGGAGAGTGCCTGAGGGGTCTGGGGCACACAGGCAGGTCAGTGTGGCTGGAACAGTGCTGTGCATGGCACCAGTACTGCAAAGAAAGCTGAAAACATGGGAAAGGACCTATTATGAACCAGTGCTGTCAGAAAAGGGGAGACAAGGTAATGTGGAGCCGTGGAGGAAGTGAAGGACTTACAAAAGTGAAACCAATAACAGGAACAAAGCATAGAAACCAGAGTGATAATAACAGTAATAACTAACAGCACTTATTAAGTGCCAGACACTGCTCCACAAACTTTTAAAAACCTAGAGTATTTCATATAATCCTTACAAAGCCTTGTTGTCTCCCTTAACAGATTAGAAAAAAGAGGCCAGAGAAGCTACCTAACTTGTCTGAGGTCACAGGCTGGTAGGGCAGGATTTAGGCTCAGGCCACCGGACTGCCAGCACCACACCCTCACTCACTGTGCTGATGTGCACTGTGCAATTAAGGGGGATGGACAGTTGAGATTGGCGAGGAAGGAGGAAGGAGAAAGGGAGAGGACCAGAGAAGCACACAGACAGCAGACTGAGGAAGGGCACTCGGGCGCCACTCAGCATTTTTCTCAGGTCAGCAGCACATGAAGACAGCCATTTTAGGAAAATTAGCTTGGCAAAATTGAGGGAGAAGGAGAAGGAAGGCAACGACGGCAGGTACAGCAGTCTGGGTGTGAGATGACTCGGGCCGGGTATAGAGAAAAATCAACAGGGATGGAAAGGGATAAGTGGGTATGGACAGATTATGTGAGATTAAGAAGGTAGAAAA